TTTTTTCGTGTGTCTATTCCTGAGTATTACCCTGTCGGAGTCGGCTCTAAGCACATGTCCTCCCATTTTATGCAACTGTTGAATGTATTCAATTGTTAGTTGTTTGTATTCAGCTAATGGTTGTACTTTTGTACATTTCTAGGCTTTTGTATAAATTCTCGTGTCGAAAAAAATAATAATAATAATTTTTCCACTGCAAGATAAAAATTGTATTTTACTAAACAACACAAACGAAAAATGTGACATTTTAAAGCAAGGTATCCAATTTTTATTTAAAAAAATACGAAAAATGAGAAAAACCAACATATTTTTCAATAGACAATCACAGATCATGATGGCTGCAAATTTGACCCAACAGTCATAAACCAACCAGTGAGCAGCGAGTATTTGAGTTTCAGTGGGCAAATTAGCTGGTGAATTGAAAAGGGCATCCACCATAACTAGCAACAAAGCGAACCTTCAAGAGAGCAGAAACTACCCACGTTTCAGAAGCACACCAACTTCTCGCACTAATCTACGGAATTCGCTGGAAGATCACGGGAGCTCTCACGATTTTTCCGGCGCTTTCATATCCGGAATGAATCCACCGGCGCGTGGAAGCCCACGCTAGCGGCAAGACTTTTCTGCTGTTACTATCTAAATTTCTTTTTTCCATTTGTTGGGACTCTTAGAGAAAACAGTAATTGGGTTATGTACAAATTTTCCCGGCAGCGTGCACTTGAAAATCTGAAGGCCGTCGCCGGTGGAAAACCTTTTCTAATCGATTCGAATAAACATCTCAACGAGCTTTTGAAATCGGGTCGAATTGATGAAGCCCAGAAAGTGTTCGATCAAATGCCCGAAAGGGACGAGTGTACGTGGAACACGATGGTGTCCGGGTACGCAAATTCCGGAAAGCTCGTCGAGGCCCGGAAACTTCTCGACGAGAGCCCGAGAAGAAGTTCGATCACCTGGTCTTCCCTAGTGTCCGGGTACTGCAAAATGGGTTGCGAGGCTGAAAGCTTCCAGCTGTTGTACCAGATGCAGCACGAGGGCTACCGGCCCAATCGTTTCGCTTTAGGAAGTGTGCTCAGGCTATGTTCTATAAAAGGACTCCTCTCGAGAGGCGAACAGATTCACGGCTTTTCCGTCAAGGCCTGTATGGATACGGACGTTTTTGTAGTCACCAGCCTTATAGATGTTTATGCCAAGTGTCGGTGTATAGACGAGGCAGAGTATTTGTTCGAAAGAATGAACGAAGGGAAAAATCACGTCACTTGGACTGCAATGCTTAACGGGTATTCCATAAACGGGGACACGATTAAAACAACCGAGTGTTTTGTGGGCATGAGAGCAAATGGGGTCGAGGCTAATCAGTACACTTTCCCGGGAGTTTTGGCGGCTTGTGGGGCCCGCTCAAATCTCAGATTCGGGACGCAAGTTCACGGCTGTATTTTTCGCGGTGGGTTCCTTGCGAATGTTTTCGTTCAAAGCGCGTTGGTCGATATGTACACGAAATGCGGGGACTTGAGTGGGGCGGTAAAAATAGTCGACTCAATGGAAACCGATGACTTGATTTCATGGAATGCGTTGATTCTCGGCTGCGTTAGGCTCGGTTTTCCCGAGAAAGCTCTGTCTTTATTCAATTCCATGCACGTGAAAGGCATGAAACCAGACGAATTCACCTACCCCTCTGTACTGAACTCGTTTGCTGTAGTAAAAAACGTGACGGCCGGTAAAAATATCCATGCATTGGTTATTAAATCCGGATTCGAGGCTTACACGCTCGTTTGCAATGCTCTAATCGACATGTACGCCAAACAGGAGACTCATTTAGATGTTGCGTTTAAGTTGTTCGATTTCTTGGAGGATAGAGATGTAATTTCTTGGACGTCCTTAGTCACGGGATGCGCCTATTGCGGGCTCCACGAGGAAGCCCTCAAGCTATTCTGTGATATGAGAGTCGGTGGGACCCACCCGGACCGAATAATCCTCTCGAGCGTCCTCAGCTCGTGCGCTGAGCTGGCGCTGCTCGATTTCGGTCAGCAGCTTCACTCGGATTCGATAAAATCCGGGATCGACTCGTCGCTATCTGTCGATAATTCACTCGTGTCGCTATACGCTCACTGCGGTTGCTTGGAGAGTGCAGAGAAAATATTCGACTCGATGGGAATTCGAAACGTGGTGTCTTGGACTGCATTAATCGTGGGCTATGCGAAAAACGGAAAGGGAACAAAATCGATCCAATTTTACGACCGAATGATAGAATCGGGCTTAAAGCCCGATTCCATAACCTTCGTCGGGCTGCTTTTCGCATGCAGCCACGCGGGCCTAACCGAACAGGGCCGAAACTATTTTAACTCCATGGTGAAGGACCACGGGATTAGCCCAGGGCCCAACCATTACGCGTGCATGATCGATCTTTTCGCGAGATCGGGAGAAATAGACGAGGCGGAAAAATTATTAAATGAAATGACTGTTAAACCAGATTCAACCTTGTGGAAATCGTTACTATCTGCATGCAGGGTGCACGGGAATATCGATCTTGCCGAAAAAGCTGCTAAAGCATTAATCGAGTTAGAGCCTCGAGGCTCGTTCCCTTACGTAATGCTTTCGAATATGTACTCACAAAATGGGAAATGGCACGAAGCTGCACGTGTTAGAAAGTCGATGAAATCGAGGGGCGTAGAGAAGGAGCCTGGTTTTAGCTGGATTGGGATTAATGGTAAAGTTCACAACTTTTTGTCCGAGGATAGGAGCCATGTGGAAACTGACGAGATTTATCGGAAAATCGATGAGGTAATGGTTTTGATCAAGGAGTTTGGGTATGTGCCGGATTTGAAATTTGCTCTGCATGATGTGAATGAAGAGAATAAGGTTTTTGGGCTGGCTTATCATAGTGAGAAGCTGGCCGTGGCTTTTGGGCTGCTCAAGCTTCCGGCTGGGGCACCTGTGAGAATATATAAGAATATGAGGGTTTGTGGGGACTGTCATAACGCGATGAAGTTTGTGTCGAGGGTTTACGGTCGACGTGTGATTATGAGGGATTCGAATTGTTTTCATCATTTTGAGGATGGTGTGTGTTCTTGTGGAGATTATTGGTGAAAGAGGTGGTTTTTACAGGTCTCGTTTTGGTGTTTGGAGTTTTTCTTGTAAAGGCTTCGAGGCTTGATGAAAGGTTTTTTTTTTTTNGGCCATACTCATAAGATCTTTGACAGATTTATTGAAGGTTTATGAATTTGTTCGTGAGAGTGGAGATATAAACTAATGTTTGCGAACAAAAGCTCGTTTAATTCGAATAAAGTTTGTTGGCTAGTTAATCAAGGCGAATTCGAATAAAAACTTAAGCTCATTTGATATCAAACGGATACGAAAATATTCACAAATTATAATTGAATGTTTATTTTTTATTATTTGTTAATTACATTAACAATCCCATCTATATCTCGTGCAATAAGCCAACTAGTACTAATAAATGTAATATTTTAATTACATTAACAATCCCATATATCCCGTGCAATATCTACCTAAGCGACCTTTATGCTGGACTTTGCGGCGCGTTTTTTAGAAGAGTAAAACCCAATGAAGTTCAATTTCATTGAGTAGCCAACATTGAAGTTATGATACTCAAATGTAAAATCAAACAAACTACAACAAAAACAATAACGAATAATGTTAATACAAAATAGCATGAATAACACTAGAATCCATCAAAATCTCATCATCTTACAAACACTAGGAAAGTCGTCAATCGAGTAAAACAACAATAATAATAATAATAACAATAATAATAGTAATAATAATAATAATAACACTAGGAAAGTCGTCAATCGAGTAAAACACGTAAAGATCATGGAGTATCACTAATTCTGAAAGACAATAGCATTCTAGTTTTATCCTTATTTAATCTTATATTGTTTGACTTTTAAGATATAAGCATCATAATCTCAAGGATAGCTCTTTTAGTTATTTTCATATATAATTGAGAATTATATAACGGAACTCTTTATATGATCAGCCGCTACTTATTTTTCTCTCCCCCGTGAAAATAATGACAATAATGATTAAAAAACAGAAGAAAAACAGAATTTATCATTATGCATAAGCCTCGTAGAACCAATCAAAATCTCATGGCAAGAAGCTAGCTACAAAAAGTGTGACAGTAGAAACAATTGGTGAAGAGAGAAACAGATAATACCTCCTCATCACACCATGGTCGATAGAAAGCAATTCAAAAATGGTGATTTCAGACTGATCCCTGCTCAGTCAATTAAAATAGATATCAAAGCAGCAACAACCTTCCCAAAAAAATGCACAAATTTCTGAGATTGAAAATAAATAATTAAATACTGCTGAAAATCCTCCTGAAAATGCTACGAATAATCGGATTAAGAAACAGAAAAAACCGTCCTCGAAATTTAAAAACAAACAAATAATAATAATAATAATAATAATAATAATAATAACCACCAGGCAGACAAACAGTAAATTCACTGAAATAAACAGTCGATTAATCAACAAAAAGTGAAAAATAGTGACAAAAATGAGTGTTTAGAAGATAATTCACTGAAACAAAAAGGCGATTACAAACTAGTACATTATCTCTCCCATTCTATGACCCAAACATAAGCCTCCCGCCACCTTTCCGCCTCCTACCTCGCTGGGAGTTGGGCTTGTTCTACATCTCCATATACATGGTGACCTTGGGAAATATTGCAACCTTGGGGGCAGACCAATTTGAGCCGAGAGAAGGCCACTCAAAAGTCGCCTTCTTCAGCTACTTGTACCTTGCACTCAACCTCGGTTCCCTCTTCGAGGATGGTGGCATGTGGGCCCTCGGTTTCTGGGCCTCCACAGCCTCCGCCTTCTTGGGCCTGCCTGCTCCTCTTCCTTGGAGGCACTGAGAGGTACAGACACTTCAGGCCCAACGGGAACCCACTGTCCCGGTTCGGCCAGGTCATAGTTGCGGCTTCGAGGAAGTGGGACAGATCGTAATAATCTCATCAACAATTACGACCACGATGATAATAACGAAGCCGATCAAGGAACGACGACGGCGAACAAATCGGATAGGGAAGATGCTTCACACTCATGAGTTCAAGTAAGTAGAATCATGATAATTAAAATTTAGAAAAACATCATAATTGACCAATCCTCTTCTTGTGTTGATCCTCCAACAGCCATCGTGTCTTTAAACTAGTAGTACATTTATCTCTCCCATACTATGACCCAAACATATCCCCAGAAGAAGCCTCCCGCCTCGACTGGGACCTTTCCACCTCCTGCCTCGCTGCCAGCAGCAACATGAGCATCATCACCACAAAATCAAAACCAAATGTCGAGACCCCGCTCCTCATTTCTAGGAGGAACTCTGGTTTTCTCACTCCAGTGTGTGTCGGCACTGGTCGTGACCCTACATGCTTATGGTAGTCGACACGGGATGTGGGTCCACTGCCAACCGTACAACCTTCACTACGCTCCCGCATAGTGGAGGAGTTGTATAGTTCGCAGTGGACCCACGTCAAGCTAGAGCCCGTGTCGGCTACCATAAACATGTAGGGTCGGTAACGACATGCACGGGAGTGAGAAAACCCGATCATGAGGAATAGAGCGGGGCCTCGACATTTGATTTTGTGGTGATGATGCTCATGTTGCTGCTGGCAGTGAGGTAGGAGGCGGAAAGGTCCCAGTCGAGGCGGGAGGCTTCTTCTGGGGATATGTTTGGGTCATAGTATGGGAGAGATAATGTACTACTAGTTTAAAGATGACGACGGGCTGCTGGAGGATCAACCGCAGAAGAAGAAGAAGAAGAAGAAGAAGAAGAAGAAGAAGAAGAAGAAGAAGAAGAAGAAGAAGAAGAAGAAAGGGTGACAACTCTCTATACGTATGGAATAAATGCTATTGTGTGTGAAACTTCAATACTTGGACAATCGAATTGAGTTTATTAATTCAGTTATATGATTCTATTATATTGGATAAATCACACATTCTTACCACACTACCTACTCTTCCCACACTCTTATTCAACATTACCTACTCCTCACCCACACTCCCACACTCTTATTTTCCAAGAGCAAGAAAAATGGAGTTATTAGCACCATTTGGTCACTTGTTGAAGCAAACAAGTGATTCATAAATTGCCAAAACTGACAATTAATAACAAGTCATTTATATTTACCAAATTAAACTTTGTCTATGCTCAACAGATCCTTGTGTATCATTATTGCATTCTTAGGTTGTAACTATATATGCAGATTGTAACTAAGGGACTTTCGATTCACACAACTTATAGTTTCAAGTTTCTTTAGTTATTATCAAGAATCATATCACTACTCCAAAAAAAATTAATCAAACCCAATTAGTTCCATACAAAAATGGATAAGAAAAAAAAAATTATTAGAGTACTAGAAATTAACCAGAAATCCGAAAAACAAGCAATATTGAATATTAATGTTACAATATTATAAGAAGTTATTTTCACAAACAGAATTGAGTTGACATGTCTGAAAACATGATGACGTTTGGTATCTTCATCTGATAATTAATTATCCTGCACTTTGTTGGTCTCGCCCACAGCGGGTCCTATTGATCATCATCAGTACACCAAAAAATATATAATTAATTAAACGCAGAAAAAAAAAGGTTAATTTAAAAAAAAGGACGACGATCATCCGATCAGAGTAACTCATTGCTAGCTAGTATCGCGCGATTCAATCAACAGGTAAAGCAGCTTAATTAATTATTTTTTTTTGGGTAATTAGGTTTGTTGCGTGTATTTATTTTATAATAAGATAAGATTTCACACTACATAGTTGTTAATTGGGAAAAGGATTGTTCAATTAGTTAGGATTCTTAATTTTTATCCTAATTACAAAAGGAAATAATAAAAGTGCTACAGATTAATTAATTAATGAGAGATAAAAGAGCAACGAAATATATATACATCTATACTTATATTAAAAGGTATACCATTTACCAGATTTAGTATAAAGAAAAGTCAACAACATTTATTGCATTACTATTTCCGTATTATACAATCTATACTTATATAAAAGGAGATTCTATTTACTATATTTAATATCCAGAAAAGTCAACTGCATTAAATGGCATTATTATTTTTCGTATTATAATATTTTATTTATTTAATTGATTTATTTATTTATTTTATTTTAAAAAGGTAAGTATAATAAAAAGATTTTAATAATAAAAAAATCAAATACCAAATAAAAATGTACACTTTGACTTATTTGATTATATTTAATATTTGATTATACCAAATATATTCCTATTTAGTATATACATTAAATACTTACTAAAATATTTATTTGTTTTATTTATTAAAGTTAAGTATAGATTTGTTTATATTATCAAATCATAAAACAAATAAATATATCTCGTGCTTCGCACGGGTATTTGAACATTGTACAATTTTCTTGCGTATTATAAACTTTTATTGAATATTGCATCTTATAATATAATATTCTCTAAATAAATATATCTCGTGCTTTCGCACGGGTCACGTACTATATATATTCCGTACATTTTTTTTTATTAATGTATATAATTATAAGCCTGGATAAATAGCCTTAAAATTGTGCATCACGTGCATCGCATGGGCTCTGTACTAGTATATATAAAGAGGTTGTTGGAAAAATACATTAATAGAAAGTTTGACCAAATAAATATAATGTTTGACTTATTATTAATGGAAATTTAAAAAAAATACATGTGAATCTTTAGTAACAAAATCTGAATCCTATTTTTTTTGGTAACTAATTTGGAGATTCTTATGGAAAAATTTGAATTCCATTTTTTTCGTATCTTATTTTATTTTTTTTACCAAAATTTAAATCATATATTTTTTGGTAACAAAATATATTTTTTGGTAACAAATTTGGAGATTTTTATGCAAAAAATGTGTCAATTATTTATGAAAACAATTCTAAATACAAATTAACTTAAAAACCGTACAAATTGGATACAAATTTAGGAAACAAATAGTTGTATAATTCTTAACCAATTCTTCCAATCTTATTGAATAAGTTTTTCTTTCAAAAAAAAAGTGTGTAAATTGGATAAAACCACGTGCAATTTTTATTTTAGAATAAAACTGATATTTAGACGAGATGTATATTCAAAATTGTGTCCACATTTTTTGGTAACAAAAGCGGTTCATCTTTGATATTTAAAGTCACCTTATCCAATTATTTAGGAAAAATTTTGTGCAACTTTTCAAAATTTAAATGCATCGATTTTTTTGGATTCTTATATTTTTTCTTAACCATGTTTTACCGAGATTTTGGTAAGTTCATATCATTTTTTTATTAAGTTCATATCATTTTCTTTAGGAAAGAGACAGTTGCATAAACATTAACAAATTGTTTCAATTTTTTATTAAAATTATTTCAATTCAATTTGTTTGGTAAAAAAATCGGTGCAGTGTTAGGAAAATTCGGTTGCATTTTTAGGAAAAATTGATGATTTCTTTAATTGGTTTAAAAAAATATTCGGATCAGTTTGTCTGATAAAAAAATCGGGTTATTGGTAGGAAAATCGGTTTCATTTTTAGGAGTAATTAATGATTCTTTTTAATTTTTCTTAATTGAAATTTAGAATTAAATTTAAATTAAATAATGGGTGAAAATCCCTAAAAATTTCTATTCTTTTTCTACTATAATTAGTTTAATAATAAGATCCTTTAATTTTTTTAAAATTTGTTAATTAATAACTAATAATATACAATTTTAGGTAAAATTCGAACACCTACGTAGTATCGTGCCAATGAATCAAACCAATAATGTTGTATATAAGGAAGTGTTTAATAACATATAAATTTTTATTTTCATGATATTTCTAATGCCATGAGACAATTTAAATACAAAAATACTTTCTAAAAAACAAATAGGTAATAAATGCTCCCGTGCATCGCACGGGTACCGTACTAGTATATATAATAAGAATTATCATTTACTAAAAATAGTAGTAAAAAATTTAGGAAACATTTAATGTATACCTTTTTTAGAAACTTTTTAAATATATGCATTAATTGCTTCCATATACACGTTTTCAAATAAGATCAAATAAGATATGATTAAAAAATTACTTAAATAAATTTATTAATATCTGCAATATTTTCATTGATATTTATTATAATAAATTACAAGATTTATTTCCCGTGATTAATGTTGATATTAATTTGGTCAAAATAAATATTATTTTATTAATATTTGTAATACTTTCATTGATATTCATTATAATAAATTACAAAATTGATTTCCATGATCCATGTTGATAATATTTTGATCAAGATAAATATTACACCATATCTTAAGTTCTAACCATAATATTACAAATATTCACTTTTTATCTAAAAATATTTATAGAAAATCGTAACAGGTTAGATAGAATGTTTTTTTCCAAGTAATCAGACAAAATCAAGTTGGTGAATTAATCTTTGCCAATATTTTTTTTTTCTTATGCTTTATTTTGTTAAATATAAAAAATAAATTGTTCTTCAAATTAATATAATATACAATTTAAGAGATAATGACCAGATACATTAAATAATACTAATGGTAAAAAATTAAAATTAAAATATATTAACTATTTTTTAGAATTTATTTTTATATTATTGGCACCCGTGATTTTTGTTATTTTATTTTTTTATTTAGATTTATTTCTATAAATAAATTCTTGTAAAATATATTTTCATTGTAGAGTATGCTAAATAAACTGTAAATCCTTATAATGCGAATTAGAAAAATCTTGATCATATAAGGGATTGAATTTTTGACATTTTCTAAATCAAAGCTGTTTAATTAGTATACAAAATTAAATTCTAAAAAAACATGTGTATATTTTGTAAAATATTTATACACTATTTAATTTTAAATTTATTCACATATTTTAAATTGATCACATAAATAAATAATACTAACCAGCATTAAATATTTTTCATTACATAAAATAAAAATAAAAAGAAGACGTACAACTTTTATATAAATAATAATGACATTATATGACAACAACGTTTATAATAAAATAATAATTAAGTATTATATGGTGAACAAGAATAAGTAAAATTGTTATTCTCTCTTATATCAAGGAATATATATATATATATATATATTAAAAGCAAATTTATATTAGTATAAATGTGTTAGTGAGATAATATATTAATTATTTTACAAGCTATCCATAATATGCTCATATTTAATGTTTTGACTAAAAAAACAACGATGATTAAAAGAGGTGTAAAATATATTGTAACCTTATTGTTTATTACACTTAACGCTGATTATAAGAGGTGAAAAATAAATGATAACTCTATTGCTTTATATACTTAAATGGACAAAGTCTGTGAAAATAAATCATTTAATATTTTTGTCTCGTGCATCGCACGGGGTATGTACTAGTTTTTAAATAATGAAAACTCAAATTAATCAAACATCTTTTGCAATGTAGTTTACCAAATTTATTCCAACACGAAAGAAATCAAATCTTAATGAATAATTCCAAGAACAAGCTTGAACACGAATTTCACCTTGAATAATGAACGAACACCAAGAATTTTCAAACACAAAAGAACACGAGCACAAAACGCTTGGTTCGATTGGGTTGCACACTCATCCACCCAATGCATTGAATCCAAAATAAATAATAAATAGGTAAAATGGACCAAATTAATGAAAGCATAACTTAACATACTATTTAAGATAGTGGAGAAAATGAACATACAAAAGGTCAAACTAAATTATCTTCTCTAAAAATTCCAGTTTGTAAGCTTCCATTTGGACATATGGACATCTCTACAAACTGAACAACATCTAAAAATTTCTATCTGAAAAAGGCATATACACAACAACCCATAAAAACTTCAAGTCCTTTTTATCCATTTTATCCTCTTTCATTTTTTGTCACCAGAGGCAAAATGTACAACAAAATCATCTCATTCACTCACTAATCAAGATTTGCAGAACAACTCTTTCACCACCGATTTACTTTTTTTACGGCAAGAACGGTTCAGATTGCCCCGTTCGTAAAAAAAGCAAACGGAGTAAAATTCACTGCTTGCAATGATCTGGAATTAGCCGCTTTAGAAGTTCCGAAGATGCACCAGCCAGTTCTGGAAGAAGTAAAACCCGATAGCTTGAATGGAAATTCGAGTCAAATGATATGATTCGAGCAAGACAGTGAAAAAAAATTAACAAACCTTCAGCTGCAAAATTGAAAAGTGTAGGTAACGGCCGGCCGTTTGGTAAGCATGCATTAGGTTCTCTCAAGTCATCGAAAAACGGGTGTGCACAAGCCTCCAACTGAAATATAAAATCAAAATAAATAAAACATAACTAAGGTGTTTATGGCATTTTCAAGACACGAGAAAAAAATTAATCTAGAGTGTAACTCGAAAAAAAAAATGAATTTTCCCGGGGTAATGTTGAGCGATAAATAGATCAATGCTGGCTTACTGCAGAAAATCGTAAAGTCGGTGAATATTGGAGTAGCCTTGAGACCAAATCCACTGCTTCAGGTGGCATTCTCTTATGAAATACCTGAAAATTCGTTTTTCCCAGTTTTTTCAGTTACATCTTTTTTTTATTTTTATTTTTATTTTTTTTTTGCTTCGTATAGAGTTATATTTAGACGATGTGATTATGAGAAAATTAGGAAATTTTAGTTATTGACAAACCTTGTGCCAAGGGTGGGCTTTAATCTGAGGGAACTTAAATTCACTATAATTCGGGTTCATGCACTTGATTTCCTCTCGAGTCGGTGTCCCCAAAACCTGATACAAATAATTACAGAAGCAATTTAGATTTAAAAAAAAAAAATGCATGTTTTCACATTTTATTTATTTTAGACAAAAATGTTGTACCTTAATTATTTCAACTAGCTGATCAACACTGCTTTCACCAGGAAATAAAGGCTGCATGTGTCAAATAATATGTGTCAGAGCTCGACTTTAACAGAACAAAAAACCAGAAAAGGAAAAAAAAAATGGAGAAGATGTATAACCAAGGTAAAAACCAGCCAATTTAACACCGATTCGTATGCATTTTCATTGCAGGTACAGTATTTTGAGCGGATTGAGAGAAAAAGGTTAAAATAGTAAATAAAAAAATGAATTTCGAACGTGAACCAAAAAGCACTTACACGTCCAAGAAGTAGCTCGGCCATAACACAACCAACCGACCACATATCAATTGCAGTTGTATACTCTGTGGCCCCAAATATTAGTTCGGGAGCTCTGTAATAACGAGAGCAAATATACGAGATGTTTGGTTCGCCAGGTACCTTTCACACCACAACCAGAAAATCTCAATACGTGCGATTTATCGGTTATCCACATTTGTTCGAAAAATAAAAATAAAAATAAAAATAAATTACGAAATTTTGTATACCAGCATTTTTGCACTGCCCAAATCACACAGCTTTAGCTGATGTGTGTGAGGATTTACCTGCAGCAAGAACATTATATTAGAAGCCAAAGTTAAAATTTAACAACTATATGAAATTCGGGGGAAACCCACATTAAAATATTTAGAAAGAATTATGGAAAAAAAATTATATTTGGTCCGGAGAATTAAAAAGTAGATATTTGACGGAGAGTGTAGTAAAGGAACAAACCATAAGAATATATTACTTAATTTTTTTCAAGAACATGAATACTTTCAAATTCATATTTAGAATATTCGTAAAATTAATAATCAGGTACAATGGCAAATGCAACAGAGGAAATGAAAGCTTAATTCATAAAAAATAAACAAACCATACCAGAAGATTCTGGGGTTTAATGTCCCGATGACATACGCCAATAACTCTATGCATATAATTCAAAGCTCGGCATATCTGAATTTTCAAGTAACCAAAAAAAATAAATAAATAAACAAATAAAAATCAAGTAATAATACCAGACAACCCGAAATGTTAGAACAATCAACAAAAAATGAAAAAATAAAAAAAAAATAAATACATACCTGGTAAGTATAAAGCTGCACATATATAACGGGCATGTATTGGTTCGCTCGAGTATAATGCCTTGACGCACGATGAACAGTTTCCGATACATACTCGAGCACGAGGTTAAGGTACACCTCGTTGTTTTCGGTAGTTGAATGAAAATAGTGCTTAAGCTGAATAACGTTCGGATGATTAAGCAAGCGCATGATCTGAAGTTCTCTGTTTTTATACCTTCTATCCTGTAGAACTTTCTTTATAGCAACCGATTCGCCTGTTTCAAGGCACTTAGCCTGCCAATCGAACATTTTCAGTGTTTATAAAAAATATATACTTAAAAAAAATATTTAACAAATATGGTTCTTCTAGAAAATACCTGGTATACAACTCCGAACGAACCAGTCCCAACAACACGCTCTGCCATATAAGACATTGTCTGTGGGGGAGAAAAGAAAGGGAAAATATATCAACTTAAATAGGGCTAAAAGTTTCTTCGAAAGAATACACTACTAAGCTTATCTAAAACAACGTATACACTAAGCTTATGAGATGTGTTAGAGTCTTATTTGGATAATAAATCGTTCAAGTGTTCGAACAGAAGAAGATTTTGGTGTTTTAAAGATATAAGCATAGCTAACATGTAATTAGAGCTTACAATCATTTAGAAAGAGGGGTAAAAGGAAAATAAATAAATAAAATTGATAAAAACTCCATAATCAAAGGATAAACAAACAGTTTAGAAACATTAGACCAGCAAAAATCAATCAATCACCTGTTTTGGCTGTCCATTTCGGCCACCAATTGAAGTCACGATTATCTGACCGGTTTCAGTACTGCTGCCGCTAACAACACTCGGTTNTCAGTATGAAATTTGACCAGATAATCTTCCTTTGAGTGCACACTAAACGTAATCAACTAATATATAAAATCAACAGAAAAAAATAGACCTTAGCTGTATCCTCATGATCATCAGTTTTATCCTCTCTAATTTTCATCTCGTTCATTTCCTTTGGAAGCTCGTGTACGTCAGATGTGCTAGCAACAGCTCCAGTTGGGTTAGTCTCCATATTTACATCCCGAGTTCTCGAGTTATTTTCTTTTTCTCCAATCTCCACTTCATATACAAAACTCTGGTCTAATTCTTCCTCGACCTTTGCCCGTTTAACGCAAGAATCCCCACCCTGAAATAGATAAAACCGAAAAATCTTCAAATCAGAGATTGAATTTGTACACCTAAAATACGAAATGTTCCCAAATTCAAAATGGGGCCACATGAAATTCAAGAATATAGAATCGAACTAAAATTACAACTCAAATGCAAACGTCATGTAACTGCAGGCTAATTCCACAATAGCAGCATGAAAAAACAGCTAAAGATAAACATACTCAAAAATCCGCACTATACTCAAGTTAAAGAGAAATCTAGGAAATGAAAAAACAAATATAGTAATATATAAAAGAAATTCCGCAAATTTATCATAAGGTAAAATATTCTCCACCTTCACTACCCAAATCCCCTCGGTCAAAAAAAATAAAAATTTGAAGAAAAACTAAACTAAGAAAATGGATAAAGAAGATGAAGACAAACGAATCTGCAGCTTGAAAGATTTCAAATTTCAGTTCTATACACATTGCACGAAAATAAACAAAGTATAGCAAAGAGAAAAAGAAAAACACACACACACACATAAGTTTTGCTATCTTCAATAATATTATCTACATTTTTAAGAAGCTCCCCACATTAGCAATATCAACAATAAACATAAACCATAATTTAAAAGGTAGAGAAAAGATCCAATCGTTTTGCTATCTGGCATATCCTCAATTTTCTCAGGATTAGGATAATAAAAACTACAACTTTCTCACAAAACCTAGAAAACCACCTCATTACATCAATCCACAATCAGCACAACACTTTTACCCAGAAAACTATACATCTTCTTATTACATCAAAAAACACCTCCTTTTTTCAGCTAACTTTTCACCAATCATCCTTAGCCATTCAAATCTAATCTTAAATCAATATCATTACATAATCCAAAAACTAAGAAAAAATATAATTTAAAGGAAACATTACAGGATCTGAAACCGACGAGCGGCCAGAAGCAATGCTCTTCAGCCTGCGCATCATATTCATTTTACTTCACCAAATCCAGTCGGCAATCAAAAATTAAACTCCCAAATGGAGATTCTTTCAAACAGATAAAAAACAAAGATCTCTTTTTTTTTATTATGTATAATGTAAAAATCTCTCCTTTTTTCCTCTTTCACCTCCTGTGCAACTCACTCGTCAACCCACAAAAGAATAACAAAAGCCCACAATCAGAAATCAGGTAAGAGCAATCGATAACCCTTGCAACAATGAGCAAATACAGGGAAAAAGATTAAAGGGCAAAAAAAAATGAAAAACTTGACAGGTCTGTGAGCAAAGAAGAAATCTTTCTTCCCCACTCTCTCTCTCTCTCTCTCTCTTTGTCCTCTCTCTCTCTCTCTCAGTTTGAAATCAAGCAAAAACAAGAGAGAGAAATCAGAAACGTGAGACTGACTATCCAAATTTTATTCAAAAATGTGAAAGAAAAAGACGCCCCCCAAAAATAAATAATTACAGAAAAAGAATTTTCAAGAAAAAGACAGATATAATCACCAATTTCAAACAAAACCTCTTTTTTTTTCTTTTAATTTATATGTTCAATTTTTTGTTTTGTTTTTTTTTTCTGTCCCTTTGTCCCCCAGTCAAAGCTTCAAAGCCTAATCATTATTCGCTCCGACCAGATTTCTTTTTTCTTTTGCTTTTCGTACCAGCTGGGCAGACTTTTAATCCAAGCCGTTCATCTTCCATCATTGGAATCCGACGGCTAAGAGCGGGATCGGAGATCTAAGTGCTTATTAAACGACGAAAAATATACTTTTGTTTCTATTCGACCTCTTTATATTCGAGATATTCAACTTAAGTTCGAACTCTTATTCAGTCGAATCGATAATTGAATTTGACTAACGAGTCAAAATTAGTTTTAATATTTATTAAAAAATCGAGCCATTTAGCCTTTATTATTTAATTGAATTTAGATTTTAACAAGTCCCGGGTTCATATACAACTCGTTTCGTTTTATTTAACAATTCTANGAAGTGAAATATTTTTATTTATTGACTGGACGTTAGCTAGCTTTATTGCTGGTAATAAAATGCGGCTTTTGAAAATTTAAAATTCAACAAATCAATTAGTGAACGCCATTGTTTAACCAAAACTTGAAAAACCGAAAAAAATGTAATTTAATTTAATTATAAAGGGTACAAATTAGATAATAATATTGAATTTTATTTCATTGCGTGTATAATGTGGGGACTGACTATTTGGTGGTACATTATAATTATGTCACCATTATTGTGAGGTTTTTTTGACTTTCCGTTACCAATAGTTTATTGTAGCAACAAAAAAAAAGCATTTTGCAACGTATATCTTAATGTGCAAAGCCTTTGAAAAATGTACTCGAATGTTGAATGGGAGCACCGAGCACAAAGGCTTTTTTTATTCTATATACCCAAAATATATTTAAATTGTGATTTACTTTTACATGATTAATTATGTTAGATGGAGTTTATAATATATTTGAACATATTTGTTTTAATATTTTACTATATGTATGACTACCCGCATGACAATTAATCAGTTATTATTTTTTTAATCAAATTGTCATGTGGCATTTAAAAAAAAAAAATCCGTAAATAAAAGTATACCAAATTTGTAGTATGAGTTTGAAAAATACCATTCAATCATTGGTTGTATGTACACTCGAAAGTGGCGGATTTCGTAGATGAGTATGGACGATGGGATTGGGCGAGCTTTCATGGTATTCTACCCTTGTCCGTAATCCTACGAATTGCGGGCACTGTCCCACCTAGCGTTATGGCAGGAGATGATCGAGTTATATGGGGTTTCTTCGATGATGGCAAATTTTCGACGAGCTCAGCGTGTACAAGGCCTTATCAAATAGAAAAAGAGACTTTTACCAACCTTTATGGAAAGCTATTTGACATGCACCCGCACCCCAACGTGCCCGTACCCTCATATGGCTGGCTGCAAGAGAGCGATTGCTTACTGATTTCGAGCGAGTGAGGAGACACATTGCGGCTTCAGTAGAATGCGATTATTGTGGGGAGTGTGAAACTATTATCCATGTGTTGAGAGAATGCCCTTTCACAAAAGCCTTTTGGAGGCGACTGTTATCGGATAATCATGACGAAACTTTTTTTCAACAACCACTCAAAACATGGCTACGCACGAATCTCATGAAGAGACGGGAAGGAGATAATATGAACTGGAGTAGCGTGTTTTCGATTACGGTATGGAGGGCTTGGATATGGGCAGGTGGATTGAGGGATTCCTAATGAATATTGGACACTGCACTATTACGGGGGCCGAGCTCTGGGGGCTCTTCCAAGGATTACTGTTGGCATGGGATAAGGGATTTCGAAAAATGGTAGTCGAAGTCGATAGCCAATGCGTGGTAAAGATGGTATGTAACCATAATGGAGCTAATGGAGCTCACGAGTCGATGATTAAAACAATTCGAAATTTGATCGAGAGAGAATGGACGGTCCGAATCCAACATGTGCACCGAGAAGCAAACTTTGTAGCCTACCACTTGGCGGGGTTGGCGGCATCATATCCGGTTGGGGCCCAACGAATATCTTCCCCTCCTTTAAGTGTTGGTGCTTGGCTAGAACATGATATTGTAGGGGGTGTCTTATCTCTGTCGAGTCCGAGTCTAGACCTTTGACNATACCATGCAATCCTTCCCGAATCTTGAAATTATTGATAATTTTTTGTAGTTATAACTTAGCCATAATTGGCAATATTTTCTGGACATAATGTGAATAACTCTAACATTAGCTAGTGCTGTTAATATCAATATTATATATAGATCATCCCTAAAAGTCATGAATTAATAGCTATAGATAAAAGCTAAATTGCCTAATCAGGTGAATTAAATATTTATTTTGTAATTTTGTTTGAAAGTATAATTCCAACCAGTTTTGACATTTTTGTGCCTTTTACAATACTAGTTGATATCATCTCTTGCGTAAAATGCTTTGACTTCGTGTGCCAATATCTTCAAATGACAAAATTCAAACCCTAAAAAAAGTCTATTTGGAAATAAAATTATTAGCTGGAAAATTCACTAGATTCTCATAATGCAAACTTTGGAAATTTTGTCATAGATGTGAAACAAAAAAAGTAAAAGCACTTGTGAAAATCTTGAATGGATAACAGAGAGATTTGATGATAATTCCTTTAATTTCAACCTTATGCTTTAAATTATGTAATTAATGAATAAAATCTTATACTATATTATTATTTGACTTAGCTAACTCAAGAATATATATGAATTTATATTTACCACAAAATTGTCGGATTTTCATTTGATTATTTCATGAATAGATTTTGTACCTTTTTGTTCAAAATTGGAAAAACCAAATATTTGCCTTTTGTGCTCATATGTTATGGAGGGCCCAATTAACCAGTTAGATCACTACCCAGGCCAGATTTTTAATAGGAAGGCCGATCTTGATTATTCAATTAGCTATTACGACAAACTGCCCAGCCTCAACTTGTGTATATCTATCTTTCTCGGTTCATTTCATTTGTCTTTGCAAATGAGCCCAGTCGAATCATATCAAGTTAAGATTCGATTGTCTTCAGGCTCGACTCAACAGAAAAAATATATAAATCCACAAGATCGACCCAAATTTTATCAGTTCAAATTTTGCTCGAGTGTAAAGAAGGAACATCACATTTTCACCAGTCAATGCTTAAAAATAAAAGGAGGGCTGGGAAGGAGATAAAGAGAAACCAAATTCAGAAAAGTTTCATAATAAACAAAATCTACAGAAGGTTCTAACATAATATACCTAAAGATATTACTCCTAAATGCCAATTTCTGGGAGCCAAAGCTCAAAACTTCACATGAATTATCTTTCCGCAGACCTTGTAAATTCTTTTGTTATGGTTTNAAACCCTGCATGGCAATTGGCAGCACCAAAATAGAACTCCTCTTCATACCATCTTCTTGTAACTATACAAATCTAGTGCTTTCTGGATGATGCCTTCTGGTTATAGTCATGTTTGACGAGGTTTGCCCTCAGAAGCATGGCCCTCACTTCCCGATCAAATTCATTGCCAGTCTGCAAAACACGCTGGAATGTCCCGTTCCTCTGGTCCGCATGCCGAGCATATAGAATTTTGTTATGAGAATCTATACGAGCCTGCACAAAATAGTCGGGACTTAACGACTACACTTGGATGTTTCACATAATTTAAAAAACCCGCAATTATCCTCTGAATCACAAAATATGCACTCGGCATTTATTTCATACATTTAACCTCAATGAGATATTTGTAATTTAAGAAAGATAACTGGATTTGTGTTTCCCGGTGCAAGATAACCTGTATTTGATCTTTGGTGATGAGAGTTTCAAGCTCCTTCTCCAGGCCCGTAACACTTGTATTGAATGCATTTGCCATCATGCGGAGATCGACAGAGACAAAAGGGAGCGTGTATTGGATGAGGGCTTTGCTCCGTATTTGCTCGTACAGAGTTTCGACGTGATCGTGCAAATGGATATCGAGTAACAAATTTGCCTTGAGATTTCCTAGATACTCCAGACAGGAAGCATAGTGGCTGTGTATAAACAAGAACGGTTTTGTATGTCAAAACAAGGAACTCAAAAATCATGTTAATATTGTACTCTACTGGTATCTGTTAAAAAAGACCAGTAAAAAAGATTAAAGAGGTACCTAGTATGGAAATCATTGATCAACTCCCTTATTTCAGGAACCAATTCTAAAAAATTCCTGAAGGTGATGTTGTCGATGACTTTGCTCTGCCAGGGGAAAAAAAGGGTTCACGTTGCAAGAAAATTGGCAAAATCACAATAAGATCCAAATAAAACCTAATGAGAACAGTAAAATAAATTTGCCTTCAGTTCTGCACGATCGAAACTTGCAAGTGCGCATAGACTGCCATAGGTTGCAACATCTTGAGGTGCGATTACAGTATTGTAATTGTTCCCCAGTTCAGGGCCAGTTTCCAGGAACTGCAAATGCCGACAGAAACTTGAGAAAGACAGACATATAGAACAGAAGCACAACCCATAACTCACCAACAAGCACACAATGATTTGACAAGTTTCGTTATGGATATAATCTATTTTCTCTAGTTCTGCTTGCAAGTACCAAGAATGTTGAGATTATGGCTAGTGATCTCTGAGATGGGGTTTGGAAGTAGGCTCTCTCTGTTGAGGACAAAGCCGGAAATGTGATCTACTTGAAGACAGATGCAATAAACAGCTTTACTTATTCAGGGTAAGGAAATGTTGGGTAAAAAAAGAATAAGGAACTTGTTGTTTGGTCTGTACAAAAGCATTACCAATTGCTCAAATCAAATGCAGCATATTCTGTAGGAAAGAAAATGTAGGTATGATCACATGAAGAAACCTTTCCATCAGAACAAAATAAGAAGTTTGTTGCAAACAAATGGGTTATAGAATTACTATTTGGCATAGCACACACTTTGTCACGGTAAAAGTACTCAGTGCCCATGCACTTTTCCAGACTTTTTGTCAATCTAATTCTTCCAGTTGTTAAAGCACTATCAACTTCTACGAACTACAGGGGATGAATATGATAATAGGTGATTCGATTAAGCCAACTATCACTATTATTAATTGTTTTTGGTTAATGACCCACACCCTCCAAACATGGGAAGAATGAAACTCATTCCTTCCTAAAGCAAAATAATATCCTTTTCCGTTCCCAATAATTTTGCAAGCACTCCCTCAGTAAATAGAAATAAAACTTGAGTCGCCTACGACGATTAGCAGTGTGCATCTCTCAATACAGAACTTATAATCTACAGTGAAAAATTCGTATTCTACCTCATATAAGAACAAGGCAAACACAACAAAACGAATAAATTTATAATTTATAACACACTACAGCAATCAGTTTCCCACGCAAATTCCCAACTGATGACAGTTCATGGTGTACTACAGCATAAAATTTTTCTAAATATAAGGGAAGCTACTCGAATGCAAACCTTTCTTGCAGCAAGCTTATACTTCTTCCCTTCCAAATGAGCCAATCCAGCAGCACAACGCAGTTTCGCAACTGTAACAGGGTCCAGAGCATCTTGGCTTTGCTCGGCCTTGCTAACATAACTCGTAACATGCGTGAACTGGCCCATCTCAATGCTAACTAATATAGCATTCAGGCACATTTGAATAATATGCTTCGACGTGGTGCAGTAGTCACGTGTCCGGACATAATTCTTGAATGCCTCACCAAGTTGACCATGCACATAGTAGAACTCTCCAAAATCATTGTATCCCATCCGAATGCTTTCTTTGATCAAGTTTGTCTGTAGAAGACAAAGCATAAGTAAGAGGAATGAGAGACGAACATAAATCAATGGACGATTGAAAGTTAATGGAACAAAAACCTCACATTTCACTGTACATCTTCTAAATCACTTCATAAAACACCCAAAATAACCCAATGATTTCTTAAGATACAGTGGGTATTGGAGTTTTCAACTCACTGTGTGCGCTCTAACCAAAGACGGTTAAATATTTGCATGCAATGAAAGCACATCACTACTCACCAGAAAATAAAATATGGCATCAGTTCTCCATAAGCAATATTATCCCAACATTGAGAAATCCAATCCCCAAGCAATCCAAAAAAATAAAAACAACAACGATAAACACTTAATATCAGTACTAATTTCTATTTCTGAAAAACAAATCCAAGTGAGTGCTCGACAGGGAGAGTAATTTGAACTCTTTCATCATGGTTGAACTTGAACCTAGATCAAACTCATAAAAAGCAGCAACACTATCAGACACCCATTTTCTCCTTCTCTTCAAAAGCAGTTTCAGCAAGTCTAAAACAAAACCAATAAATAATCCAATTGATAAACAAAAGTTATCCAGTGTGCTTATATATTTGTGCATTCGTAAAATAATCACTCTACCCTGTAAGCATTCAGCTCGTTCTCGAGCTTCTCCTTCCTCAGCTCAGCCCTCCGGTCGACAGCATCGGCCCAGGCATTATCTGCGCCGTAATTCGGGCCCAGCCTCCCGCCAATCCTCGTCACGACCTCCCTGAACAGCTGCGTGTTCTCTCCCTTCTTAATCTCGTCGTACGCAAGCCGCAGGGCCTCTAGCTCCATGGACGCAACGCCACAGTTCTCGGCGATGAAGAGGAGGCGGCTGATCTTCGTGCGGCCGGCGTACAGCGCGGCGTACGCCTCGACATCGAGCTGCTCGCCGCTGATGATCGGACGGTGCCGCTGCGGCTCGCCGCCGTTGGCGTAGATCTCGTCCTCCTCGATGGTGGCTCCGTCGGCAGCCTCTTCGGGTTCCATATCGGAGCACGGATTCGGGTCAAACGGAGTCGTAATCTAGGGTTTTTTGCTGGTTTTTCTTCGTCTGGTTTTATCGTCTCAAGAGTGAACTGTGTGAAAAAAGGAAGGTGGGGACGGAGAGACGGCTGAGATGGGCTTCGGATTGGAATAGCTGTTTATGGGCTGGACTGTGGGCCGATAACAAATCCAATCATTATGAATAGTCCGAGCACGTTGGTTTTTGATAAATAGAAAATAATACGAGCACATTCAGCTGTGTGAAGTGTAATTTTAAAATAATAAACTAAAATAAACATAAAGCTGTAGACAGTGATAACAATAATAAATTTTTAAGAAAAAATATTATGAATAGTTTGTTGATCTTTAAAAATACTAAAAATATTGTGTTGAGATTTAATCACTATTGAATGACAACGCAAATTACATTCTATTAATTAGATAAAAGAATTTCAAAAGTAAACGAGCCATCAAGTCTTTGTCAAGTCGTGCCGAATTGGGTTTGTTAACTAAATAAGACTACAACGAGCTTTAATTAAGCTCGTTTATCAATATTAGCAAGTCGAACTAAAATAAAAGTTACATAAATTTACGTGAAAGCTCACAATTTCGAGACTTGTCAAGTCTTAACGAGCTCGAGTTCGATTTATTAAACAGAGCCAAGATGACGAACCACTCATTTTGTTAACTTTTAAATATTTCCAGGCATTTTTTTTACACCTCAAACTAAATTTCCTGACCTTAGCCTAAAGTTTTAAACAATGAAGTTTTCATTTCACTAATTAGCCCATATGAATTTTGTCCAGCAACTCAGCTTCCTCAGGTCCAAGTGGTTATCAGACAATAGTACATAATAATAACCCATGACCTTCATCAACTCATCACCTCAAAAAAAGAGCACTCAATTCTTCAAAGTTCAAATTATGTACAAAATGAATCCTAACTATACATCAAAGGGCAAAAATCTCCACAGACCACAATCTCTCACAATCTCACAAAACTGAGGAAAAAATGTGAAAAAAGAAAAAGAGACCAAAAATCAAATGTACAACAATATTGCCTCTGAATTTCTCATGCTGTAAAAACCACACTGCACCCTCAAAGTACCACAAATGCTTCAATCTTCATAAAAGTATCTTCACCTTTCTCTAAAACTTCTTACATCCTTCACCATCCAAACAAGTCAACTCTTTCCCTAAACCACTCGGACAAATAAAAACCGAGTCCACGCAAAGACCACCTTTCGTGTGGGTACAGTCGATCTGAGTCAAAGAGAATTTGACCGTGGTCAACACATCAGAATCCCGCACGACAAAATCGCCCACATGGTAGTTTACCCAATTTCCCAAATTGTCCAGTGTGCACCGAGTCACCGCATTTTGGCCGTCTTGTGTAGTCAGCTGAAACTGGGCCGGCTTGATCTCCCAGCCGTGGACATTATCGGAATTACACACCCGACGGCCCAATCTCTTGCCGATTTTCCCGAGACTGAGCCTGAAGAATAGACTGTAAGTTCCTCTCGGGAATTGGAACTCCATGTCCCCGTTTATTTCGAGCCACCAAGTTTGTTGAAGGTATGCTATTGTCTGAAATCTACATGACCCAAAAGGGAAGAATGGAAAATGAATAATAAGTTGGTCATCAATGGCTTATTCAACCCATACAAGACCCCATACAAGATGAAGTATAGTTTCTGAAAAGTAGTAAAGCAGAACAAAATATAGTATAGTTTCTAAAAATTACAATATCTACCGTTGAGAAACAGACATGTAGTTTCCGAAAATTACAGGCAATGTGAGAAACATGGCCACGAGAATTGCTTTTCAAAATGAACTGGAACCTTTTTAGCTTGATCAGTTTATTTTTTGAATCCGCTATTTTTAATCTCAACCCACGGTCAACTCACTCCTTGACACGGTCTTTAGGTCAGACATTTTTTTTATCTTATCAAATAATTTTATGTTTTTTATTTATTGATGTATTATAATTTTATTTTATTTTTTTAAAATATTAACATAGTACCATATAAATAAAAATTAACCATAAATTTCTTTCTAACATACTACGAATCTTCATTTGAAAATTTAATTATAAAAGAAAAAAATATGTAAAAATTAATTATAAAAGAAAAAAATATGTAGTACATTATTGGACGGCAAGATTTTCAATGACTTACATTATAAACTGAAATTTCTCTTAAATCTTAGTGAATATTTTAGTATTCATAATGTTTTAGTAAATACTTTATACATGTTTCAGTAAATAATATAATTTTTATATAAATATTGTTGTACTATTTATATTTTATTAATTATTCGCTAGGAGACCCTTGCAGTCCACGATCAATGCAGTATAATGATAATAATTTGAATAATTAAATATGTGTAAAACAATATATCTAATTAAATTACATTTGTGATATTAAAATAATTTAAAATAATGAGGATAAAAAGAAAATGATTTATGGAGTAAAATTTGGAGACGCAACTTGATTTTTGTTTCACTCCCAAAGTTACGAGTAAAGATAAGGGTTGGAGAGTGGAGATGGCCTAAGTTCGAACAACATGATCTTCTTGACTTCTTCTATCATCTTTTTTTCCCTCATTTCTCCCCAAACCTCAAGAAATTTGTAAATTAATAAGCAATTGGAGTCCTTTTATTTCATAAACAGATAATTTAGTTCACCAATAATAAACCGAAATTATTGCCCCAACACAAACTCTTGCAGATCACAAACTCAAAAACACTAAATCCCACCTAGATTCATCAGTCGGAATGTAACTCCAATACCGCCGATCATCGATTCCAGTTATCGACATAGCCTTCGAAGATATTGCCAAACAAACCCCTCCCGTACACTTATCTATCCAAACCTCCTGTTCAATCAAAACGCAAAAGAGTAGCACAAAATCAATTTAAATCACTCAAAACCCAAGAAAAAAAAATAGAAAAAAATCTCTCACCTTTGTACCGCCATCAAAAGGATTAGATCTACAAAGCGCGGCGTAGATGTCCTTCCTGCCCTTGTCCCCGATGCTCCGATCGGCAAATCTGGACAGGATATACCGGTAATTGGAGGGCAATTTGGGAATCCATATGAAATCCGCCGAAGACGCCGCCCGGAAAGCCCGATTGAGCCGGGCCAGCTTGGCGATCTCCGGTGGGTCCAAGCCGGAGAGGACCAGAGCGATGCAGGACTCGGGTATGTCCTCCAGCTTGGGCCTCGGGTTCGGGCCGCCGAGCTCGCCCGACAGAGAAGAAGTGCTGGCACCCATTTTTCCGGTGGGCGGATAATAATATTTCAGATGGTGGAAAAAATGGAGACGAAAAGAGGGAGTCGTCGGTTTGAAAGAAAGGTTTATATATGAATGTGGGTTTTAGACTTTTTCAGGGGAAAGAAAATTAATAGTGTGAAATGTATATATACTGAAGCTTCGGAATTGTAGAGTAGCGTGCAGTGTCAAATGTTGTGTGCAAGTTGTTTTTTTTAATTTTATTTTACTTTTTCTCCTTTTATATTTATTTGTAAGAAAATTGAGCAACATATTACCTAGAAAATATGTTATTTGTTTCACAAACATAAACTAGTACACCGATACATGAGAAAATAACTTAAATTAAAAAAGTAAAAGAATTTAGTTATTATAAGTATAAGAAAATGCCCACATGCCCACGTCCCTTTATCCTTTGCAGACATGCAAATTCGCCTTTTTATAACTTATTTGACTATTAGGCTTAAAATGAAAATTTGTAATTAAAGTTCAAAAATTATAAAAATCATAAATCATAAAAAAGTTGAACTGATTTTGGTTTTAATGAAATTTCTAAAAAGTTTATGTCTAGAGATGGTGTTTGGTATATGTGTTTTTTAATTTAATCTCAATAAATCATAAAAATGTTCAAAAAAAATATTACTGGTATGTAAATCGAATGTCTCTTTATTTTTTTTATAAATCTAAACCGAATAACTCATGATGAAAAAAAACATCTCAATGTGTATGTGCCAAGCGGGTATGGCTAAATGTAACATCTTCAAAGCTCTAAGGGCTCGCTGGTTTAGAAGTTAATTTACTCATATTTATTTCATACTCAAAATTTAATACAATTTTTAACTTAACTCCAATATTTTTAACATTATTCATATAATTAAATATTACAAATCAATCATTATTACACATCACATCAACTTTAATACACTTTTCATCTACTCACATAATTTTAATTACCTATCATTTACCTCTTATTTTTATATCACATCAATTGTAATCATTTTATTTTAAATATTATTTTAATAGATTTTCGAAATTCCACTAACAACTAATCATACTACATTTTCTAAAATTATTTATAATTAACCAAACTAACTCATTTGAACGAATTATTTGATAAAGAAGCGTGTCCTAAGCCATCAACCTATAATAGCTAGCAAATAAAAAAGGTTATATTTTCTCGCAAAAAACTTATGTTCACATTTTGAAGTAGACATTTTGATTGTTTGACTTCTTGAAATCTCAACTAACACAAATTATACTCTAATATGTATTTTATTACCCACCACATCTCACATATCCATTCAAATGTTACATTAAGCTGATCATGACATCATTATTTCCTCTCATATATAGAACCTTTGGGATTTTATGATATTACACAATACCTATATGACATCATTATTTCTTCTCATATATAGAATCTTTGGTATAGTATTTTTGTATTCCTTAAAAATAGTCACTTGTGGCCTATGAGGGTCTGCTGACTCGGATCCACATGTAAGGACTCTATTGTAATCTACTTTTATTCCTTCATTATTGTCCAAATTATAAGCCCCCAAAAAAATTAACTATACAAAGTGTAAATTAAGAAAGTTATCATTTTACAATGCTAAAGCACATCAGAGAGCTCTATATAAAATTTTCAGTTTTAGTTGCTTTGCAGTTTTTTCTAATCTCCAAAATGGTGATTAAGCCACATTAGCAGTTGCTTTTGGTTGTTAAGCACTTAATTTAATGGTGCTTTTAAGTGAAAGGTAAAGTAGTGCACAAGAGAAAGGGAGAGTAGTCACTTTTTATTCAATGCTTTAGTGGACCAAACTTACAAAATTACAATGGTCATCAAAATTATAAATGTGGATAAGAAATAGGATTAATTTAGTAATATATTTAATCATCATTGGATTCTGTAATTTCATGAGATGTTCAAGGTGAAATTTAGGTATATGTTTACAATGGACATCTAAATTTATGATGAAATTACAAATTTGAAAATTCTAATTAGAATTGTCAAACAAATTGAGTTGCTCGTGAGCTCGACTTAACTTGTTAAGACTCGATCTCGAGCTCGTTTTGTTAACGAGTCGAGTCACTCGATAAGGTTCAAAAAGATGATTTTGTATATAGTTTTCTAGTTCATCTCCTAGTTCATCTCGTTGTAGTTTGATTCGGCTTAATCAAACTCAAGCTCGACTTACGAATATTGATAACTCGGACTCAATTACTAGCTCGTTACAAGTTCGAGCTCAGCTCGTTTACACCTCTAATTCTAATACTACTTTTAATCACCATTAGATGTGTCAACGTGACCAGAAAAGCTCGAGCTCGATACTTTATCTGTTCTGCTAGTTAAATAAACAAAATGATGAATAAACTCGAGCCTTAATTAGTCGAACTATTGTAAAAATTCAAAACATTACCTAAAAACTCGAGACTTAACAACTTGACTCGTTTTTAAAATGAATAATAAATTAACTCAAATTCGAACCTCAGCAAGTTTGAGCCGAACTAATTATTCGAACGTTTCATTTCATTTAATAGTTCTATTCCGTCATTATAAACTCTATTTTCAATAGAATTAAGTTAGTGCACAATCATCAAACAAAAAAAAATCTGTACAAGGAACCAAATTGGTACATCTTCTTCCTTTNCTACAATAAAATGGGAATTTCATCTCTAATTAAACTTTATAGTAAAAAGACAATAATAATAATAAAAATACATGAACCAATTTAGGTTGGCCAAGTTATTGTCAATATTTGTCCCCTAATTAAGCACATTGGCTGATTAGTCGGGGCCCCACACCACCTCGAACTGGATAAGAACCTTCTACTTTCCATGTCAGAATTACTTGTGAATCCTCTACGGTACCACTTCATGCGAGTCCATCCAATCTATTTATGAACTAGGAATATCTTGGTTGTGCGATGCACAACCGACCCATAATCCTAAAATATTTATGTCTAAAGATGATGTTCCCAAATTTTGAATAGCTTTATTTAAAATTGAATCAAAAAATTATCGAACATAAACAAATTATACGGAAAAATTTAATATCACGCAGGAATGTTAAAACAAGACATTTTAGTTTTCAAAATCAAAGATAATTACTCAAACATTAAGTGGTTTACAAACTATTTTTTTTCCTTGTGTAATTAGTTTGGGCACAAGAGGCCGCAAATTATCTCAATTTTCAGCATGTACGGGATCCTAATATATTTTGTAATGGATAGAGATATCTACCCGAGTGAGTTATAATTTTATAATAACACATTTCATTATTGTGAAACAATGACTTACACCAATTTCCTTTTAAAGCCGAAACATTTGTATTTTCAAAATGGATAACATACTTGCAATTAAATAAATTATGATACACCAGTTGACATGAGATGAGATAAAGTGGATGGAAGACAACAAATTAATTTAGGTATGAAAAAAGAAAAGTAGTTCCCCATATTCAAACACATTCACGTTTATGGTCGATGAGATATTTTTCCAAACAAAAAAAGAAACGTCTAGCAAGTAATAAGAAATATTAAATATTGAGAAAAAAACATCCCAAAATTACACATGAGAGAGTTAGTAATGAGTCCACGTTTGAAAATAGAAAAATTAACTCCCTTTAAAATAAGTTGAAAAAAATAAACAATCAGCCTAATAAATAAAAATAACTTACCTAAATAACACGATTCACATTCTCATAAAACAATAGTTACGGAGTAGGGACCACACAAGGAATTCCCCCAATTTCCTTTATTAGATACTAGTACAGAGCCCGTGTGAAGCACGGGGTGCACAATTTTAAGGCTATTTATCCAGACTTATAATTATATACATGAATAAAGAAAAATGTACGGGATATATATAGTACGTGACCCGTGCGAAGCACGAGATATATTTATTTGGAGAATATTATATTATAAGATACAATATTCAATAAAAGTTTATAATACGCAAGAAAATTGTACAATGTTCAATAAAAGTTTTATAATATTCAAGTGGAGTCTTAAAGTCTCTTGTACATTAAGACTACTGACAAAATAATATTTTAATCAATGAGTTTCCTTTCGTTGTAGCCAAATTGTGAATCTGATTTGAGGAGTACAACAAATCGATATATAGCTAACTTGCTTTTTTCATTGTAGTTTTTTTTTTCTTTTTTTTTTATAATGAATTTAAAGATATTCTAAAATACAGTAAAAATAATTTTTTTTATTACAATTAGGAATTTTACTAAATATAGACTCTCAATCTATGGTGTTAATCAACGTTTATGTCTAAAAAATTATGAATTTTTACCTCTTTTAATCAACGTTTAAGTCTAAAAAACAATAGAGTTATTATGAGTTTTTTTCTACATCTTTTAAAACATTAAATATGAGCATGTTAGAGCTAGCTTGTAAAATAATTAATATCTTATCTAACTAAAACATTTATACTAATAAAAATTTAATTTTAGCATACAAATTTATCCCTTGATATAAGAGAAAGTAACAGTTTTACTTGTTGTTGTTCACCATATAATATTTAATTATTATTTTATTATATAATAAAAAAGAATATTGTTAAATAGTGTAGTAAAATTGTTATAAAATTATATGATTTTTTTTTTATTTTTTACAATATAGATTTAATATTTTTTATGATTTGATAATATATACAAATCTATACTTAACTTTGACAAATAAAACAAATAAATACTTTAGTAAGTATTTAATGTATATACTAAATAGGAATATATTTGGTATAATCAAATACCAAATATAATCAAATAAGTCAAAGTGTACATTTTTATTTGGTATTGAATTTTTTTTATTATTAAAATCTTTTTATTATACTTACCTTTTCAAAATAAAATAAATAAATTAATTAATTAAATAAATAAAATATTATAATACCAAAATAGTATGACATTTAATGCAGTTGACTTTTCTGGATAATAAATGTAGTAAATAGAATCTCCTTTTATATAAGTGTAAATATGATACTAGTACAGAGCCCGTGCGATGCACGAGGTGCACAATTTTAAGGCTATTTATTCAGGCTTATAATTATATACATGAATAAAGAAAAATGTACGGGATATATATAGTACGTGACCCGTGCGAAGCACGGGATATATTTATTTGGAGAATATTATATTATAAGATGCAATATTCAATAAAAGTTTATAATACGCAAGAAAATTGTACAATGTTTAATAAAAGTTTTATAATATTCAAGTGGAGTCTTAAAGTCTCTTGTACATTAGGACTACTGATAAAATAATATTTTAATCAATGAGTTCACTTTCCTTGTAACCAAATTGTGAATGTGATTTGAGGAGTTTATTTTAATCAATAAAAGTTCTATATATATAGCTGACTTGTTTTTTTCATTGTAGTTTTTTTTTCTTTTTTTTTTATAATGAATTTAAAGATATTCTAAAATATAGCAAAAATTAATTTTTTTATTACAATTAGGAATTTTACTAAATATAAACTCTCAATCTATGGTGTTAATCAACGTTTAAGTCTAAAAAATTAGGAATTTTTGCCTCTTTTAATCAACGTTTAAGTCTAAAAAACAATAGAGTTATTATAAGTTTTTTCTACATCTTTTAAAACATTAAATATGAGCATGTTAGGGTTAGCTTGTAAAATAATTAATATATTATCTCACTAAAACATTTATACTAATAAAAATTTAATTTTAGCATATAAATTTATCCCTTGATATAAGACAAAGTAACAGTTTTACTTATTGTTGTTCACCATATAATATTTAATTATTATTTTATTATATAATAAAAAAGAAATATTGTTAAATAGTGTAGTAGAATTGTTATAAAATTATATGATTTTTTTTTACCAATATGGATTTAATATTTTTTTATGATTTGATAATATAAACAAATCTATACTTAACTTTGACAAATAAAATAAATAAATACTTTAGTAAGTATTTAATGTATATACTAAATATGAATATATTTGGTAAATCAAATACCAACTATAATCAAATAAGTCAAAGTGTATATTTTATTTGGTATTTGATTTTTTTATTATTAAAATTTTTTATTATACTTACATTTTTAAAATAAAATAAATAAATAAATTAATTAAATAAATAAAATATTATAATACCAAAATAGTAATAGTATTTAATGTAATTGACTTTTCTGGATAGTAAATGTAGTAAATAGAATCTCCTTTTATATAAGTATATATATGATATTATATTATGTTGCTCAAAATAGTAATGCATTTATTGCATTGACTTTTCAACTTACTAAATTTCGTAAATGGTACACCTTATTATATAAGTATAGATTATATTATGTTGCTCAAAATAATAATGTATTTATTGCATTGATTTTTCAACTTACTAAATTTCGTAAATGGTACACCTTATTATATAAGTATAGATATAGGGAAATGGACAAAGGAAGAAAAAATAAGCCCAATCAAGGCCCAAAAGAAAAAGAAAAAAAAAAAACGCAGGGTAGAATTGCAAGGCAGCCACGTGGCGCTCATGAGGCCCTACGATTATTAAGATGTAGAGGGATTATATGCCCCACTTTATGTTTTTTGATGCCTTCTTTCAACAAAATAATAATGATAAAATAAAAAAATCATAAAAAAAAATTCGGTACAAGTCAAGATGTGTGTTATTTTTATTTTTCCATCTTGAAGACGTTCGTTTGAATTTTTGTAGTAATTATCTCAAGATAATAAAAAGGGATATAGTAATCTTTTTTTTTCAAAAAAATTGGTGCAAGTAGTTATATATTCACAAGTATAACAAAACTTTTTAAAATTATTAATACATTTAAACAACTTAAATTATATATATATATATTAAATTTCATAATTTTTTTATTGTTATCATTTATTCGCACATAATATATAAACTAATTATCTTTATATGATATCCGATACAACATTCATATTATGAGTACTTATAACTATTTTTATAAAATAAATACATTATTAATCAATTATAATAGAAAATAACAAACTTACTATTTATCAATTAAATAAATTTATTTACCGAATATGTTATATTATATGGGACCAGAATTGATTATAATAAAAATGAGCAAGTCTCATAGGTGACATACAATTTAAGATAAAGATATTGCAATCTTTGTGCATATTTTAACGTAATATAAAATTAAAATAAAACCTTTTATACTTACTTTGAAATTTTCAATATAATTTATTAATTAGGTTACTGTTAGGCAGAGTTTCCTGTTAGACAACAATTTTTTTACAATCTTTGTGCATATTTTTAAGTTAAAAATTCACTCTCTAAAAATTAATANTAACAGTGGATTTTATTAAATAAAATTATTGGTAATGCGTCTAACAGTTATTCCACCTCAGGTAATAATTCCCTATATATTAATTCAAAATTTGCTGAGCTTAAGTGGCAGACATGCACACTTTATAATCCTACATGTCATAACATTATACTTTGTATTTAGGTTCGGATAAAAAATTTGAAAACAAAATTGACTTGGAAAGTGGCATAAATTTTTTTCTACCATACATTATTGTCTTCCATCAATCTCTCTGTAACTACCAAATATGTCTTGAATTTATAGAGCACATAAATCTTTCTTTCCTTATTTTATTTTACTAATGATTTATCCCATTCATCATATTTTCTTATATTTTTTCAAGTTGATAATTTTAGCCCATTTTAAGTCTGTGTCTTTATTTGCGCAATAATAATGAACTAAAATTATATATTATAATTATATTGATAAATTAATTAATGAAATCTTAACTAAACACGTCCCCTATCTTAATTCTCATCAATTTAGCCCTTATCGTAATTATCATTCTCTCATAAATTTTAGCTCATTCACCATATTTTTTATTTTTTCAAGTTGATAAATTTTAGCCCTTTCCGAGCCTGTGTCATTGTGTGCATATGGATGAACTAAAATTATATATTATAATTCTATTGATAATACAATTAATGATATTTTAACTAAACACATCCCATATCTTTTTAATATTAACCTCTTGATTTACGGATGTCACAATTCATTATAAATTTGTGTTGCGACAACGATGAAAAATTTATAAGTAGAACTAATAATGTTGTGTACAAATATTTTTTTTTTTTAATTTGAAACAAAATAATAATTTACAGTAGTTTTTGTTTTAATATGACCACCGACTTAGGTGACATGCACACATTGGTGATGTATTTTTTTTTAACATATTAATATTACCAATGCGTGCATGCCATATCAGCGGTGAGCATATTAACATGTGCCCGTGTAAGAAGATCTTTAGAATGGGCTTCCCGCATAAGGAAGAGAGATTCATACAGGGCTTCCTGCATAAGGAAGAGAGATTCTGTATGACGGGCTGATTTTTTTTATGGGCCCATATGATGGAACACTTTAGTTTGGTTTCATTGTTTGTTTGTTTATTTGTTCATGGCCCCTTGAGCCTGTGGAGAAACACTTTTATTTATGTATTTTTCGATCAAAATAAATATTTAAACTTATATATTGTATTTTTATTTATATAATCTAACTATATTTCTATCTATATATCTATATGAAGAAAATGACCATTTACTAAAAGTAGCAACAAAAAAAATCTGTAAATATTAATTACATTCTATAATTAGTAACCTTTTTTTTTTTAAATAAATTAGAAACCTTTTTTTAAATAAATTAGACAATACTAAATGCATCCTTAAATCACGGCTCGTAGTTTAAGAACATCTCCAATGCTCTAATGTTGTTATATGATAAATTTTGAGAAATGTCAGAAAATTAAATAGATTGTGAACCATGTAGGAAAAATGTTGAGTTCACAACTATTAAACTTAAAAATCATCTCCAATGCACAATAGTCTAATTACAATATTATCTACTTACCAAATATAAATATTTTAATATGAATTAAGAAAATTAATTAAATAATTAAATAACTTGAAAATAGTAAGAATAATTATCTCTCTTATCTCCATTGGTTAGCTAGAGTGTGGAGGAGAATGTGAATGAACTACATTCTTCTCTACATTGTAGACATTAATTATGTTCACATCACCACAACATTTATGATCACATTGTATATTGGAGGATAGAAAGTTGTGATATTACTAAAAAGTGTTGATGTGGAATGTATTTTACTACAACAACATTTGGGCATTGGAGATGCTCTAAATCCTAGGTAATTGTATCATTAAATTTGAATTCTCTAATCTTAATCCCTACAGTTTTGTAATGCATTTGTTTTTTCCTTCCGAAATTGTCTACAAGTGATTGAATTCTAATATACTACATTTCTTTCCATTATAAGTTTGTGCGATAAACTCATGGCGTGATTCAAATATTTTTTCTTCCCTTTTTAAAAATTATTGTCAATAAAAAATCGTAATTTGTTCACTTTGAGTAAATTGACAAATTCTGACATTTTTTGTTCTTGATATTAGAGTTTTTAAGTATAAAACTTAATATAAAAAATTAATTTTGCCATGGAATCATCGGATGGCACGACTTATAAAGTCATTCAGACATATTCACAAATGGTGTATTGACACGTGTTACAAAAAACACATGTTATTAAGAATCTTAATATTTCTTTTCTTTTCAATTTTACATCAAAAGAAAAAGGCACAAAACACATAAATATTTTCAAAGAAAATTAGCAAAAACACAATTATTAGGAATCTATTTTTTTTAAGCCGAAAAGCAGTCTCCATTCCCTTTCACTCTCTCTATCTTCCATCGCAGCGTTTCTCAGAGGTAAGATTGTTTTACCTGCTTTGTTTCAGTTGATCAATTGAAGAATTATCATGTGTTAATGGAACTTGCATATGCAGTTGTTATTTTTTCCCCCAATTACGAATTGGATTTATGTCGTTCGGTAGATTTTTGTTCTTTTTTGTCATTTCTTTTTTCATGTTTTTCCTGGTGTTTGATATTCTTTTTCATTGTTCATTTCATGCCATTTTCGCGGAAATCTGAAGGGTTGTAATTAGGTCTTTATTTGGGTAAATTTTCATTTTTTTTTTAATTGAAAAAATTTGGGTCCTTAATGGATTTTGTTAGGAAAAAAGAAATAGTAAAAAAGTTGATCGTTTCTGTTTGCCTCGATGGTTTCTTTATCTATTCGCCTGTTAAGAATCACGAGCATTTTTTTGTTCTTAAAAAAAGTATCCGTTGTTCAGCTGTGATTTAGGGCAAAAGCAATATAGGCTGCTTAATGGGTTTAAAGTGGAGAGATTTATGCTCATTTTTTCTGTTTTCAGTACAAGTGAATGTTAAAGTACTCGATTAACCTATGGTCTACAGATCAAGATATCGATTAATTTGATAAGATTTGGAGGCAAATAAGCTATGGATAATGAAGAAGCTGCGATCAGGATTGACTTTTTGCAATTCCTTGAGACTGATGTGTCTGTTCATATCATGAGTTTCTTGGATGACCCTGCTGATGTAGTTCGTGCAAGTGCTGTCTCACGCAATTGGCGCAAATTTGGTAATGTGATGTTAGTTTTAAATTTTTTACCTGCCATTCGAGTAATCGTCTTATTATGTCTTTAACTTTTTCATTGGCAATGTTAACTTTAGAATGCCTACAGTTAATTATGGGCGTATAGTAATACTGAATTACATGTTTAGACTTCGAGTAAGTGAAGTTGAGATGATAAAACATGATTGTAGAGTTATTTAAAGCAAATGTAAGTATTCTTGATGGTTCTACATTAGGCCGCTACTGTTAGCTTCTCTTTTTGCCTTTTGGAAGCGTTGGTTGGTTATTCAGATTCTCGGTTTGGTTATTGTTGTAACTCGTAAATGATGTTCTACTGGCATTGCTGTCTTATCATATGTCAATATCGTTAGTTAATTTCGTGTATATTTTAGAGGTGCTGGCAATCTAGTACTCCTCAGAATCGTAAAGTGGCACATTATGTGATTACACTGCATTACATAAGCCGCATAGGTCAGAAAAATAATGCTTGAAGAATTTTTTGCAGACGTAAGGAAGTTGTACTCGAAGTACAGTATTCCAAACTGTTAATGGGAGAACTGGTTTATTACAATTTACAGCTATTGTTATTATATTTCATTTTGAGATATTGGGTGAATTTGTTATATAAATAACATTAATTTCTTGGCTTATGATGCCAGCTTCTTACAAGGCACACTTTTTTCTGATGGCATTTCCAAAGCTAAATCCTGAAAAAGAAAAAAAAAAGTTCAGAGAAGTACAAAAACCAGAAGACTGTGGATAAAGATAAAATAACTAAAGCTTTAACTCTAAAATCGTGACGGAATAAAAAGTAAAAAAAAATAATAATCTGAATTAATAACCCCCCACGAAAACTATAAGAGCTAAAAACCCAAGNAAAAAAATATGGGTGGTGCTAACTCTAGTTTTTACCTTTTCGTTTTTCAGTGATTTCAAATGGACTTGCTAAACATTTCTGCATAAGAGCCTTCCCCCAACTTTCCGAGATAGTGAAGATAACCGAAGTGAACCAAGGAAAGATGAATTTGCTCACGTCAGAAGCAAGAAGTTCTCCTGGACTAGACTTTCTCGAGAGGCAGCACAAGATTTATGCGTCCCTTCATCGGACGATTACGAAAGCGAAAGTTCCCCCGAGAGATTGCATAGAGACTGCAGTTAGCGCGTCCAGCACTGACCGAATGCCGGACGAGAGCATATTGAACACCCTGAATCCGAGGGACAGATTCATAAGAACAGCTTCTTACTGGTCCAGCAAAGGGCAGAGTGATCCTTCTGTGCCCGAGACTTTGGTTTATAAATTGAAATCCGGTATTTGGGTTATTACTGAGGTCGACATTCAGCCGTTCGAAGGTATATTGCACAATGTATTAGTTCTTGGGTTTGCAAAGAGAAACTGAAAATATGGCAAATTTCGAAATTCAATAAAAGAAATGAAAAAGGGAAAAAAATAAAAATATCACGCCTTTTAGAATTGCAAGTGCCTTATTGAGTTCTTTCTAGTTATGCCTGTGAGGGGATTTTATTTCAACAGCCCCTTCGGGTGTGATTGAATACAAGAATTTTCGCTTCAATTTTCATCCAACTCGAAATCTAATCCAATTTTAACTCAACCCCGCTATCATCAATAATATTATCAATATAATTAAATAATACCACCCACTCATTCTTACGTATCACATTTACTTCAATTCACTATTCATTCACTCACATAATTTTAACTGACCATCATTTCATATAATCTCTCTCCTACTTTTACATCAAATTGACTTTAATGATTTAATTTAATAATGTTTTAATATAAAATCAAAATCCCACTAACAACTAACTATACCACTTTGTTCAAATTAACCTTGGTTAACAAAACAAGAAAATCCATTTTGGGTGGATTTTTTTTTTATCCAATCATGCCCTTAGTATTTACATTTTTCCCTTTTCCTGATGTCACTATGTGTGTGTGTGTGTGTGTCGTGGTTTTCTTTACGTTGTCATTGACACTTGTTAACTATTGTTGGTTATTCAGCTTTTTTCCAGCTAGGAAGTCCTGTATACTCTGCAAAGTCCGTGAGGTTTCGATTAGGTAATCTGAAACCCTTAAGCGATATTGGAGGAAGCCAGCTCGGAGATCTCCCATTGGAAAAACCTGCTGACGACATGTTTGAATGGACCTACACTTCACCTGAGTTTCCCATGAATCAGGTCTCGTGTTTATTCTAAATTCGAAATTTAAAACTATTTAATCAATGAAACTCGAACAAAAGTTGTTTAATTTGGACGTTAATGTAAAAAAAATAAAAATGTATCGTGTTATAATTTACACTAGGTTATTCCGATGATTTTATTTTGATTTCAACTCTTTTCCCCTTAAACAGACTAATGTCCTGCAACAATTTAAGCTACCAGAACCCATCCTTTGCATCGAGGGATATTTACAGATTGAGCTACTCGGCAGGGTTCAGACACAGGAAATGGATGGATTATACTATTTGTGGTTAGTTACAAATAGGCTGCAAACGAGCTGAGCCGAGTTTTATTGAGCAAGATTTTTTTTGTTTTTTACCTGCTCGAACTCGATTTATGACGCTCGAGATCGACTCGACAAAAGAAGTCAATTGCTCGAGCTCGGCTCGAGATCGACTCGAATTTCAAGTAAAATTACCATTAAGTACATATATAAAATAAATAATGTATATTTATGTATAAGGGGTATTTTAGTAATTCACTTGAGCTGCTCGCCCTTCCAAAATCTATGCTCGAGCTCGACTCGATAACATGCTCGAGCGCTAGCGCGATTCGTTTGCAGCCCTATACTGTTTTGCTTGGGCCAATAACAATTATTAGCCATCAAAATACTTGCACATTCTCAATCTCTTTGTTTCATTCTGCAGCGTGTGTTACGTTCGAGCCTTAGGCCGGTCTCTTTCTCCTGCATTCAACATGGATGTTCTCGAGCCATACGGGTTCAAAAAGCTTGTACTGAGGTACGACCCGGAATATCTGGTCCATCTTCTAGAATGTTCCTCGAGTGATGATTTGATCCGTTTGGGACAAGTGGAAGATGACAGTAGACTGTTTGACCAATTGGGTTTGCTTCAGAATTTGCTGCTCGGGTTCCGTGGTGGCGAGAGTGACGATGAGGATGACTGAGTTTGAAATATATACTTAATATCTTTTTTTTTTCTTTTTTCTTTTTTTTTTTTTAAATGCGCTTCCATCTATTCTGATGCAAAGTGATTGCAGTCTTGTGCATAGGTTGATATATGTTGAGTGACTTAATTCATATGTGTTGTACTATTGACATGGTTTTTACTTTTTTCTAAGTCTAGTTGCAGATTGCAAATTTGGTCTGCATGGTGTGTGGGGAGTTAACCATGTAGGTATATTCCTTCAAAACAACTATGATTGGTTTGAATAATGGATTAAATCTGCAACTTTCTTCTACTTCCATAAATTGTTTATATTTATTAATTTATTTGTGAATTTTACAAGGCTTAATGTTGTCATTCTCTGTATTTTCTTATGGGATCAAAGTTGCACTGCATTCTCTATTTCCAGGTAACTTGCCGAACTCTAGAATGTGCAAAAAGTAGATAAATCTGATGATGTATATTCATACTAAAATTATAGTAGAAAATTTTTCTAGATCCAATTCATTATAATATAATATTAAAAAATAAGAATACCTCATGAAAATATGCATATTGATGTACTATGTTAATTAGTAAAACCTATTAGTAATATATTGAATTGTTTAAAAGAAACATTTAACTGAAATTAGTTCATTCTTCCACTCAATTTTTTCTCAAATTTTAATCACCTTTACTATTGAGTTATTTTTTTTCTTCAAAATAATCTTTATCTATATCCAAATAAGAGCAAGGGCTCAGCCTGAGCTTGTTTTTTTTGTTTTTTTTTGTTTTTTGTTTTTTGTTTGTTTGTTTGTTTGGTTTTTTTTAGAACAACTAAAAGAATATAAATCAATAATTACTAAAATTTTTCTAATAAAGTTAACTATTCACACATCACATTTTGTACTCACAAACAATCACTATTTTACTATTTTTATATTACATAAACTTTAATCCTTGCATTTTATCTTATATCTATTCACAAACTAAAAACCAAATAATTCCCACCCAATTTTTTATTTTTCATTTTCTCCATCAAATTTACTATTGAGACAATTTTTTTCCAAAATAATCCATATTCAATCCCATTTGTAATGTTTATTGATAATATTTTATAACAAGCAGTCTTATATTATGCTAATATTATATTAATCATAATCACAAATCTTGTATGGTGAAAATGAATAGGAAGAACACAAAAGTACAATTCTTCTGAAAATTCACAAGTTGAAATAATCTGGTTGTATTAATTTTTTATATTACGCAAATTTATTTATTTTTATAACCAAACCAAATACAACAAAATGTTGGAAATTGAATTGAATTTGTAGTTCGTTGACCAATACCACACACAGTCAACTCCTACGTGTCATCTCCAATATATATACAGAGACTGTACGCAGCCTGTGGCTAGACACTGTTCTCCATGTTTCTTTCTTCACATTTCTTCTCATTTTCAGGATCATCTCATAAAAGAAAGGTATGTTTAAAGGTTTATTCAAATGGGTTAATGGGTAGATACGTTTTTCTTGTAGATGTTTCGATTTCCAACCATTATTTGTTAGATTTCTTGAATTGGGAGGTTTATCAGTCTGAAAAAGGGACGCTCCAAAATGAAAAAAATTGGATCATTAATTTGAGAAGGGAAAACGAAAAAAAATCTGTATCGGTCTGTGTGAAACCCGTTTTCGTTCTCTTTATGATATATTGGAGATTCTTGCATGAATTTGTGACGTGAAAGGTTTGAATTTCTTCGGGTTTAGTTTCGATTGCTCTTTCTTTTTGCTATTTCATTGGCTATTTGTGGTCTGTGTTAGGGTTCGGTTCATTTTTTAATTTTTGTTATTTTTTGTCTTCATTTTGTGCATGCTTAAATTGGGCTGAAAGGGAACTTATGTAGCTTGTTGCTATTGTAAGATTTTATGAGATAAGAGCATATAGCCTTTTAGCATTCTATCTTGTTTGATAAGTGAAGAAGAAATTGGCTTATGTTTTGGTTTTGGTTTTCCAATCAGTTTGAATTAAATTGAGTATGTGTCCCCAGGTGACTCGTCGAAAATAAATGGATAAGAAAAAAGAAAAAAAACTCGAAGATTCTGCATTTGATATGTGATTAGTTTGGCAGGTTACAGTGAAATGGAGATCGGCCGAGATTTCATGGAGTCCTTCAGTGCTGATATAACATTTAACATCCTCAAACTATTAAGTGATCCATCTGATATCATAAGGGCTAGTGCTGTTTCACGATCTTGGCGCCATTTCGGTTAGCCTTTGTAATTTTTTTATCGACTCGTGCACATGTTTTTCATGGTTTTCTCATGTTAACAGTTATTCTTATTCACTTTATTTATTCGTTTTGCATGCGTGCTTTTGTTTCCTCTCGTTGAAATAACAAATCAACTGGTCAATGGATCGTCATTAACTGCATTGTGCCATGCCACGTGTAGAGTATGGGATATTTTGTTCGTTATCACCTAGATTACTTTTGTTATGTCAACTTGTTGTCATATGGCATTTTTATCATTAAATTCAGATGTCTTGTATCTTGAATTTTTTATTTTCACGGTTTAGCTTTTTCCAGTTTGCTGCCTCTGTCCAAACGGCATCATGGTATCATTCAAACGATTTCATTTCAATGTTTTATTCCAATTTAAAAAAAACATTGCATTGTGCTGGAACGTTTACGAAATGAGTAATGCTATTTAGCCAACTTCGGCGACAATTTGGGTTACAACCAAAGTGTAAATACATTATCAAGAAATTAAAAAACAATATATTTACACTTTAGTTGTAACCCAAGTTGTAACCCAAGTGGGCTTTATAGCATTACTCTTACGAAATTGGTTTTATTCCAATTTTAAAAAAAATTAAAAAAATCATTGTATTTTCTTTGCTCTGTCCCGGGAATACATTGGTTTTACGAAATTTGCGAAGTTGTGCCTGCAAAAATTATCATTAAGCTCAAGCAAGGAGATATTTTCGTGATCCGTCGTTAATATATACAGGGCATTCAGAAATTTATTTTTCTAAATTCGTTTGCTTCCTAGTTACCAATTTATCATGTTGGTTATGGTGATCCTGTACCATATATTGTTATATTTCGTTATCCGAAATATTAATGTTTGATATCTTTCCACATGTCGACATTAATATGCTCTGTAGATGAAGCTTGTCCTTGATCCCCACCAAATTTCCCCTGGAATTGTTGTCCTTTATCTTTTTCCTTTTATATTTCAACCAGCCTTTTTACCAACTTGTCCATCATTTAGCTGCCAATATGCACATTGAACAATTTAATAGATTCTCTTCTGTTTAATTTGGGAATTTTCTTTTTGCGCCCGACCAAAAAAAAAAAAATAAAAAAAAACTTTTATATTTTCATTTCTTTCTTTCTTCTCAGTGATTGCAACTGGCCTTTGCAAAAAGCTATGGTTGAAAAAAGTTCCTCAAGTCAGGTACATCACATGTTCACTTGAAGAAAATGACGGTATAATTAAACTAACGAACCTCGAATCTGAAAACACCGTCAACTGGAGGACTCTCGAGATTGAGCATAAATTCTTTTCTTCTCTAAACCGCGCTTTCTCAAAGCCCGTAACTTCTCCAAAATGCATTCTTGCATTCCCTGTTGGCGCCTCCAGCACTGACCGGGACCCACCAGTGACTATTATTAATACACTCTCTCCCGAGCAGCGTTCTTTCTGGTCCAGTAAAGGACAGAATGACCATAATGCCCCCGAGTATCTGTTGTACAGGCTAACCACTAGTATAAGCATTGTGACCGAAGTTCATATACGACCTCTTGAAGGTTATTGTCTGTGTTAAGTCTTTTTTATTATGTATATACAGTTCTTTTCTATTATTTAACTTTTTATTTTTTTCAGTATTTTGGGAGAATGCTCGACCTGTTTACTCGGCAAGGTCAGTGAGGTTTCTAATGGGTCACCCGAAATCGGTAGCTGATGTGGAGATTGGTATATGTCCGCTTGATCGACCTTCGCTCGACAAGTATGTGTGGACATATGTTTCACCGTGGTTTTCCATGAAACAGGTTATTATTATTTTTTTTATAATGTTTACTCTTTTTATGCGCGAAAGCTTTTTTCGATCCTTGTATGGCTTATTCTTCGATTTTGTGGATTTATGGTGCCACTTTTAAGGAGCTTCATAATTTTTTCATCTGTTCCTTTTGTTCTCCTTTACTGTGTATCTTCTGGATCTATACCGAGACCATGGATTGTTTCCTTTCTTTCAGTTGAATCTAAAATTATAGAAAAAAAAAAAGGAAATTATGATTCTTATAAATCATTGAATATCTTCACTTGTGAACAGAAATCATGTTTGCAAAAATTCAAGCTGCCAGAACCTGTTATCTGCATCGGGGGGATTTTTTTGATTGAGCTGCTCGGGAGGGCCCAGAAAGACAATGCAGATGGACTGTTTTATATTCGGTGAGTCTTGTAAAATTTTGTTTTATTTTTCTTATCCCCGAACCTCAAATTTACACATCTTGGTTTAATCTTTAGATTAAAGCAGTGATTGCAATTTGCAATATCCTTAATGTAATCGTGAAGCCATTTGTATAGAGATCGATCATCAAAGCCCGTTTTTAAGGTTGGGTCACATGAAATCACGGCGAACCAAGAAAAAATAGAAGCAAGCTAAAAAGCGAACAATTTTTG